GACATCGATCTCTTAAATAACAGGTGAAAAATGATAGCGTATGCGGTGTGCAGCCGACGCTAGCCAACTTCGCTAGTAGGACGTCATTGTCTACTGTGTCAAATTCCTTTTTAAAATCAAAATAGGCAACATCCACTTGTTGGCCAGCATCCACTGTTGGTACTATGTGTGTCATTAGCTCGAGCAAGTTCCCCGTTGTCCCTCGCCCGGGACGTAAGCCGTGCTGTGCGTCGGACAACAGAGCACTTATTTTTGGGTACAAACTACTGTGAATGGTCTACTCAAAAACTTTAACTGGAGTGCAAAATACCGCCACAGGTCTATTATCACTGGGGGCTGAACCTCTGCTACCTTTCGGCACGGGTACTACCCGAGTGAGTTTCCAACGATCAGGAAACTTTGCAGCCTTAATACAAACATTGAATAGGTGTAGCAACGGCTTTACTAATACTGCACGACAGTCCCTAAAAATAAACACCGGAATACCATCGGGCCCCGCCGAAGACTTCGGCGGCAAACGTGCAAGTGCGCGCCGTACGTCAGCCGGACGTAAGCACGCGAGATGCGCCCACGCACCCGACACCGCACCCGTCGCCGCACTTATGCTTGCCGCCGCCACGCTCAGCTTAGGAGGCGTCGGATTGTAAACCGACTGGAAGAACCGAGCGAATTCATTGGCACATTCTTGTTCTGATAGTACCCGTCCGTCATTGATTAACCTTCGATGATTCGAATCGCCTTTCCTAGATCTTATGTACCCCCAAAACGCTCGCGGATCCTTTGCCAAATGTCCCTGCACGCGGTCGCGGTACTGGTCATGTGCTCGTGCAGTCTCGGCTTTAACTCTTGCCCTACATCGAGAGAACTCCTCGTAATCATTGCGCGCTTTGCTAGATATATATATCTGATAGTATTATATCCCTCATTGGTTTTCAAACTTAAACGGTAATAGTTTGAAAAAAGAAGTAATAAGTCTATATCAAAATTAGTAGTGGTTTAACGATAACAATTTATACCATACCATTTACCAGAGCCGCCAAACTTTGATGAGGCCCCATATAAACCAAAATTTAACGTACGCCTATTACCAAACTATGGAACATAGTGTAACGCTCCCCCACCCCCCCCCCCCCTCTTTTTTATTTCTTTCAAATCTAATCTATAAAATATATAAAAATATATCAAATTTACGTGACAAGTGTATTAACCATATATTAATCTTTCTGAAAGTTTAAATATAGGCCGTTTAATAAGTTTAGGCGTGATCGTCCTTATTAGGACCCTTATTTACGTTGCGTTTGTATAGTAACGTATTTCTTTTAGCTGTCTCTTGGAAGAAAGAATATTCACGAGAGCAATCGAAAGCTACCTTATAAGCTAAAGAACCCCATACACGATGACAGACCTCAAAAAAGTTTAAGAAAATATATCGTCCCTATTCCTCTTGTATCAGGTTCACATCAGTCAATTCCTTATTAATTATTCCCTTCTCGCTTGAAAACGCCTCACAATATTTATATCAAACACCAGATGCTAGGGCTTCGTTTTCTCATATATGAAAAAAATTGGGAGAGGCACACGGCTTCACACACGCCATGTGCGGTGAGCGCCAACCAACCAACGCGTCCTCCCGAAAGGGTCAATAAGTTGGAACTGTAGTTCATAACAAAATAACTGCCGAACCAGCAAAAGAGGACTTGGACCCTTGGTAGTGCGTAAGCAACATCATCGACCAAAGTTGCGCATGTCAATGCGTGTAAACGCCATACAGATTACGATCAAATCCAGCCACAGTGAATACACGTCACACGGATTAGGCCTGCCAGACCGCCGTTCCTGCAGACGTGATATAAGTGTAAGGCATCACCACCAATTGGATGATCAGCACGGCCAATTGGCCGCAGATCGTGTCATGAGTCTACCGCTCACCTCAAAGGAATGGGGTCCCACGTTGCGCGGTTTCCGGCCGCAGCTTTGAGAGCCTCCTCAGATTCTCCCTCCAGCTACCACCCGCATGAGGTCGACACATATGCTCCACCAAAAAATACAATGACAGATATAGCCAATAGCCATAGGCATAGGTAGCGGTAGGAGGAGAGGACACCCCTCTTACCGCAGCCCGCTGACACACATCCGAAGTGGGCTCGCCAAGCCCACTCGGAGTGGCCACCTCGTGCCGACCCTACACCACGGGCCAGCCAAGGGGTTCCTCTTTGTTCACCGCGGGCGACCAAGCCACGGCTACTAAGCCCCCCGCCACGACAAGGCGGGAACCCGTTCGGGGGGGAACCTAACCTAACTTTTTTTTTTTAACGTGGGGAATTTCTCATGGATACCTTCCACTGTTGGGCAACGAAAAGGTTATGCCTGACTCGTACCGGCTAAAACCCCACGGTGGTCACCATCAGCGTATACGAGGTGTCCCGGGATCTCCGTTCGGAACGCAACCGGGGCCCCTCCATCGCTTTGCTACGCTTATAGCACGTCCCGGGGACAGTAATTGCTGCCCCCAGCACCCTCGCAGTGCTATCACGATGTCTCGAGACCACTTCCGAGTCACCGTCCTCTTCGGGGGTTACATAACTAGACGTTCGATGCCCCCGCCCCGAGCGTCTGCAACACCGGAGGCCCCGTTTCTGGTTGGGGAACACCGTTTTCAAGAGGAGGGCCGTGACAAACGCCTTGGCGACGTCGTCTCCGCCCGGGATCCGCCCTCTCCCGATCCTGCTCAGAAGCCTCCTTCTGAAACATAACAGATTCACAGAAGGTGGCTACAGCCCTCCACGCCGAATCCCCGCTCAGCATCGCCGATACGACTGCTGACAGGGAGAATTTCCGTCCAATGCGGTTCACCAGGATTGTCCACTCCCGTTCCCACGCTGGGCATACTGCGAGCGTATGGGAAGCGGAGTCCTGGTCCCGACCACTACAGTGGAAGCAGTTCGCCGTCGCCTCGCGTCCGATCTTACACAGATAATCACCGAAGCCCCCGTGCCCGGTAATTATCTATGTAAGTCTGTACGTGAGTCTTCGCGCTCGTGTCTGCTCCAAGCTTTGAAGACCGGCAGGATTGCTCCAATGACACGTTTGTGTTCATAGCGCTCCTCGAGTCGAGTGTGCCATGTCGCCAGGGCGTTTTGTCGTTCAAGCCGTTTAATTGATTCGAATGCCTCTTCTGGCTCACTACCACCGCTATGGCGGAGGGCACGGATTCGGTCGTATACCCTCGCGTCCATCTCCGCCAGTATATCTAGTGGTGGAAAACGAGCCAGGATTGTCGCCGCCTCAAAGGATACAGTGCGGTATCCTCGTAGGTTAGGTTAGGTTAGGTTAACGCGCGGGTGTCGGCGCGCGCCCCTGAGGTGATACACGGGGTAGTTGAACACCTCACTACCCCGTACAGGAGACGAGGCCCGGACAGACCGAGCCAGCACTAGTGTGGGGCTGCGGAAGAATTTGGATTCCCGCGGCCCCACGCGCACGTGTGAGGAGACACCGGGGTGGTTTTAGCCGGTAAGAGTCCGGCACACCCCTCCGCCTTTCCCCAGGTAGAGGTAGTCCATGAGGATTTCCCCCCGTAAAAAAAAAAGGTTAGGTTAAGTTAGGTTAGGTTGCCAGCACTCTCCCCCCGTCGGGTACCGGCCGACACCCTTGACGGGTTACGCATAGGCTTATCCGGGTAAAGGAGGCACTGCTCGGATGGACTGTTATTTCCTCCACACTCGTGGGATAAAAAATGGATAAAGAAAAATATTTAAAAAAAACAGTAGAGGTAGAAAAGGCAGGATCAGATACTGGAAGCGGCGGAAATCTCGTTGCTGCGGTCTCGGGCGGCATCGTTATTGTAGTGGCGTATTTCTCCCCCAACAAGTGTCTCGCCGACTTTGAGGGTTTCCTTGTCGAGTTGGGCGCCGTCGTAGGCAGCTATCACCCTCGTCCCGTTCTGGTGCTCGGGGATCTCAACGCCAAGTCATCGGCGTAGGGATCTCCGGTCACTGACCCTCGGGGCGAGGTGTTAGAAGAGTGGACGGTGACGACTGGTCTGGTCGTCCTGAATCGGGGTTCGGAATACACGTGCGTGCGGCAGCGGGGTGGGTCGATAGTGGACGTCTCGTTTGCTAGCCCCTCTGTCGCCAGCCGAGTCCGTGACTGGCGTGTCGCCGCAGAGGTGGAGACGCTGTCGGACCATCGGTATATCCGGTTCGACATCTCTGCCCAGACTGCGAGCGGCCGCCATCCAACAACCCCGATTAACGACGGCCCGCGTTGGACGCTTAAGCGCATCGACAGGGAACTACTCGAGGAAGCTGCCCTAGTCCAGTCCTGGATCCGGGAGTCGACGACGGACGGCCCCGTCGACGTCGAAGCGGTGGCGCTATGGTTTCGCGGGGCGATGACGCAGATCTGCGACGCGTCCATGCCCCGTGTCCGCCAACGGTCCGCAAGGCGCCAGGTGTACTGGTGGACCGCCGAGATCGCGCAATTGCGCATAGCGTGCGTTGCGGCTCGTCGCCGGTACACCCGAGGCGGCGTCGACGGGATCCCGCCGAGGAGGACGCGCTGTATGAGGTGTACCGCGCGTCTAAGGAGACTCTGTGGCTGGTCATCGGCGACTCAAAGTCGCGTGCCAGGGAAGAGCTGCTGGGGTCCCTAGATCGGGATCCGTGGTGGCGCCCCTACCGTTGGGTACGGGGCAAGTTGCGTCCCTGGGCGCCTCCACTAACACAAACGATGCAACCCCAGTTGCTAGAGGCGGTGGTATCGGCTCTCTTCCCTGAGCGAGTGGGACACGTTCCCCCGGCGATGGCTTCGCCCTCAGCCACAGACTCTCCAGAAGAGTAGAGCACCGATGTCCCCGAGGTGACGCAAACAGAGACGAGAGTGGCCTTGTCGCGACTCCGGGCTAAGAACACAGCGCCCGGACCCGACGGAGTTCCTGGTCGAGCTCTCGTCCTGGCTCTGAAGGAGCTAGAGCCCCAGCTGAGAGGGCTCTTCACGGCATGTCTCGAGCAGGGTCAGTTTCCCAGTGTGTGGAAGGAGGGGAGGCTGGTCCTGCTCAGGAAGGAGGGGCGCCCATAGTGTTGCTCGACGAGGCGGGCAAACTTCTTGAGCGCATCATCGCAGATCGCCTCGTCAGCCACTTGTGCAGAGAGGGGCCGGACCTAGACGAGAACCAGTTTGGTTTTCGTCGCGGGCGCTCCACCATAGACGCTATTACGCGCGTGAGGGCCCTGGCGGAGGAGACAGTATCCCGGGGTGGGGTGGTGCTAGCGGTGTCCTTAGACATCTCCAACGTCTTCAACACCCTACCCTGGAGTTGTATTCGGGAGGCGCTGAATTACCATCGCGTGCCTCCCTACCTCCGCCGCACAATAGGGGCTTACCTTGAGGAGAGATGCGTTACATATTGGGGACGTGACGGCGCTGGTCGGCGCGTCATGTCGTGCGGTGTTCCGCAGGGATCGGTCCTGGGACCGTAAGGGATCGTCTTGGGGAAGTAAGTCGGAGGCCATGGTGTTCCATGGCCCTCGACGCGCGCCGCCGCCGGGTTCACACATCGTGGTCAGCGGGGCCCGGATAGCTGTCGAGTCCACCATGAAGTATCTGGGATTGGTGCTCGACAGCCGATGGGAATTCGGACCCCACTTCCGGCGGCTGGCGCCCAAGCTGATGGGTGCAGTGTGCGCGCTATCAACGTTGCTTCCCAACTTGGGGGGCCCCAGCGCCGCCTGTAGGCGGTTGTACGTGGGAATCGTGCGGTCCATGGCCCTGTATGGGGCCCCTGTGTGGGCGATGGACATGACGGCCAGCACTCTCGCCATTCTGCGTAAACCGCAGAGGGCGATGGCCGTCAGAGTCGCCCGCGGGTATCGCACGATTTCCTACGAGGCGGCTTACGTCCTGGCCGGATCCCCGCCCTGGGACCTAGAGGCGAAAGTACTCGTGTCATTCATTATATCGATGGCGCGAGGAAGAGCGGGCACGGGGCTGGAGGCCGGTGCAGCGGCAGATCGCGCTGCTGTAGTGTGTGCTTATATATATGTAGGATAGAATAAGAGAGAGTTAGTATTAAACCTACCGTCTAGACTATTGGACGTTTTATTTATTCCCCGAACCACCCAACACTACATGGCGACCCTGCCAGTTCATCGGCGGTCTGCCTGGGTTCGGTCGCGGGCCGCGTTTTAAAAAAAAAAAATGTGTCGTTCTGAAGTCAAGAAAGACCAAGTATTTATTACGCAAGACACTTCAAGAGGCTCAAATTCTGCACATGTAGAAGAAATTAAAAGCCACCTGTCTGGGATATCCGTCGTGCTGATTATAATATGCACAGTTTTGGGCTTGGCTCTTCTCTATGGTGTATACAAAATATACAAAAGTTGCCATACAAGCTGGATGCGGAATGAGATGGTAATGCACAATTTGCGTCGTTCTTTTGTGCGATCACCGGACCCAGGACCTCGTGTACCCCGTGTATGCTGTGAGTGCCGCCATGAGGACCGCCGGGAGACAACGAAAGCGTCAAGTTGAAAAAATGAGGTTTAAATTGAAAAATATGTTATAGTTTAAGTTTAAAAAAAAGGAAAAAAAATAATAATAAAAATAGCCTTATATGTATGCCTTAAACCTTAAAATATTTTGACAACGATATTTCTTTTTAACTGTACTTCCATGTCTAGTGAATTAATAATAATATATGAAAAATTTAAAAATATTAAAAATAATTTAGTTAAATTAAGTTATGATAAGCGAACTAAAAGCATTTTGCAACAAAAACTTAAGGAATCAGTACAATTACGTAAAGAATTTGATGATTGTTTGATAATTTTAAATAAAGAGATAGAAAGTAAACAAATTAAAAGTAATGCATTAATTGAAATACAATCATATTGCGATTTAATTAAGAGTTTATATGGACAAATAGAAAACTTTTGTAGTAAGGATTACAGCTCTCAATCAACTTCCAAGGGCACTATTCAAAGCGAAATATTCACCATGGAAAGTTTCGACTTTAAAACTGCTGTGTCACTCCTGCCAGTGATGACGGGCGAGGAATCGGTCACCAAAACCTTGATGGACTCGATAGAGTTATATAGCTCTTCGCTTAAAGAAGAAGGTAAGTCTATGTTAATAAAATTTGTGTTAAAGACTCGTTTGAATGAAGGTGCTAAGTTACGCCTATTAGATTCCTATGACTCATGCGAGGCGCTTATAAGTGATATGCGGAACCACCTTTTAACAAAGAAATCTTACACTTCCATTCATAACGAACTAATGCAAATAAGACAAAATAGTAGTTCCCTAGATAATTATGGCAATAAAATCGAACAATTATTCGTAGATTTGACGATTTCCCAAGCCGATGGTGACCAAAACGCGCATAAAATTTTACGTCCTATAAATGAAAAGATCGCTATTAAAAGTTTCACAAATGGCTTGCGAAACCGACAACTCAGTATTATTTTGTCAGCACGCAATTATAGTACGTTAAAAGAAACAATTAGAGCTGCAAAGGATGAGGAGACATCTAGTGTTCGACCTAGCGAGTACACCGAACCATCGATTTATTTCGGAAATCGAGGTGGTTCAGGAACGCGTAAAAATTTTCGTGGTAGGTATACATCCAATAATGTACCACGACAAACATATCCTTGGCATACCCAAGCAAAAAATAATGTGAATTGGAGGAAACCGGTACCCCAAAAGTTTTCGTGTGGAAATCAACAACACCGCGGGAAAAAAGGTAATTATGGTGAGTACTCATACCAGAATCGCGGATCTTTTCGTGGTCAAAATGCCCAGCGAGTTCATTTTATAACACCAGAATATCGCGTATCGCAAAGTTCTCAAAATATTGAAATTAACCCTAATAACGATAATAGTGAAAATAACCTAGAATTTTTTCGAGACCAATAATATATTTAGTTGCGAATATAGTAATTGTGTTGAGTTAGCAATAGATGGTATCAAATGTAGATGGCTCGTAGATACCGGCGCTTCTTTATGTGTGATTAAATATGACACGCTTAGTAAACTAAACATTTCATTACAAAAGAAACCGATTACAATAAACGGAATTGGAGGCAAATTACGAACCGTGGGATTTGTTGATTTAACATTGTCTGTTGACGGGCTGAAATTTAATAATAAGTTTCATGTTATAAAGCAGTTGCCGTGTGAAACTTCTGGAATTTTAGGTATAGATTTTTTACGTAAATTTAATTGTAACATAAATTTTGAATTGAATACTATTACACTGCATAATATGAATGAATTAGTAACTTTGCCATTGCATATGGGTATTTTGGGAAATAATAATTATTTGAGTATACCTCCGAGATGCGAGAATTTATTTTATATCAATGCGAGTATGATAGAAGATTGTGTTGTCTTTCCGAAAGAGTTATGCGAGGGAGTATTTCTGTCTGGTGGAATTGTCAAAGCGAATAACGGGAAGATACCAATAAAAATATTAAATACACGAGAGGATCCGGTCAATCTTAGTTATTTTAGACCTGAAACCGATAGTTTACATAATTATTCAATTTGTAAGTTTGATAAAAGTCTCATTGATCCCGAACGCGTTCATAAAATGTTAAATTTATTAAATTTGGATCATTTAAATAAAGAGGAAAAATCTTCTATTATACATATTTGTGCAAAATTTTCCGACATATTTTTATTGCCAGGAGATCAATTAACAACTTGTAACTTATATGAACATAATATTCAGTTAAAACCTAATATTGACCCAGTGTATGTAAAACAGTATCGATTACCCTATTCTCAGAGGAACGAAATAGAAACACAAGTCAAAAATATGTTACAAGACGGAATTATTGAACCAGCTTGCAGTGAGTGGTCAAGTCCTGTGCTTCTTGTACCCAAAAAGCCAGAAAATGGTGAGGACAGGAGCTGGCGCTTGGTTATCGATTTTCGAAAATTAAACAACTGTATTGTAGATGACAAATTTCCGTTACCCAATATTACAGACATATTAGATTCCTTATCAGGAGCAATGTATTTTACCCACCTTGATCTCAATCAAGCTTTTTACCAATTAAGCCTTAATCCATCTAGTAGAAGGTATACGGCTTTCACTACACCCTCTGGTCAATATCAGATGACCAGAATGCCAATGGGCTTAAAGACAAGCCCAAGTTCCTTTTCTCGTGCTATTACAATATCCATGGCTGGTTTAAATTACGAAAAAGCGCTCACTTATTTAGACGACCTCATTTGTTTTGGCAGAAACTTAGATAATCATAATAAAAATTTAATAGAAATATTATCACGCTTAAGAAAAGTAAACTTAAAGTTAAACCCGAAAAAATGTGTTTTTCTAAAAAAAGAACTTCTTTATCTTGGCCACATTGTTTCTTCCGAAGGTATTAAGCCTGACCCAAAAAAGATATCAGTATTACAAAATTACCCAATTCCTCAAAATACCAACGATGTAAAAAGACTAGTAGCGTTTGCGAATTACTATCGAAGATTTATACCAAAATTTTCTGAAATCGTTATACCTCTAAACAATTTATGTCGCAAAAATGTTAAATTTCATTGGAATAAAAACTGTAAACTATCTTTTTCAACGCTTAAAAATGCTTTAACGACTCCTCCCATACTTCAGTACCCAAATTTTGACCAAAATTTTATTTTAAAAACTGACGCGTCTGGTTTTGCTATAGGCTCCGTTTTATGTAATCATGACGGACGACCGGTTGCATATGCTAGCCGCACTTTAAACAAAGCCGAGAAAAACTATCCTACTATCGAAAAGGAATTATTATCGATAGTATGGGCAGTAAAATACTTTCGACCTTATTTATATGGACGCGAATTCATTATTGAAACGGATCATAAGCCTCTCGTATATTTATTCAACATGACAAATCCGTCAAGTAGACTTACGAAGTTTAGGTTATTGCTTGAGGAGTATAAGTTTGTTATCAAGTATGTAAGGGGAGCTGACAATGCAGCTGCAGATGCTTTGTCACGCATCCAAATTTCGAGTGAAGATTTGAAAGAAATGAATGAAAAGGTCATATCTGTTCTAACAAGAGCGCAAAGAAAGCGAATAAAAAACAAAATTGCGCAAGATAAGCGTGACAACCCTACGGAGGATAAGGTTACCACCAACGATTGGACTGATCACCCAAAAGTCGTGGGAACACTTAAACAACCGAAGGATTGCACTGAATTATTATTTGTAGACGAAAAAGAATGGAAAAAGATAGACAGAATGAAAGAAAAGTTCTATTCTAACTCTAAGTTATTTTGTTTTGTCTCAGCAAAGTCAACAATTTATGTAAATCCTTCTTTCCGATCATATTGTGCACGAGATGCCTTTGTGAGGGAGTTGGATTGCTTTTGTAATAAGCAAAAGATAGATCGTCTGTATATTATACAAAATAATAATAACAATATATTAATTAGGGAGTTAACTCGTATTATAAATGAGACACCAAATAGGTCC